CCCCCCACACTGCACCTACCTGAACCAGAGTGGCTGCAGGGGATGGTGCCCTCACAGCTGACCCTTCCTGGCAGAGGGCAGCAGGAACATCTCCAACCAGCTGAGCATCGGGAAGGAGATCGCGGCGGAGCACGAGGAGCTGCGGCAGCGAGCGCGGGCCCAGGGCTGGTGGAGTGGGGATGGAGAGTTCAGCTTTGCAGAGGTTTTCTCCCTGGAGAACCAGCCTGAACGCATGGAGGCTGCCAAGGGCAGATTCCGGGCGGGCAAGGAGCTGCTGCAGCAGCATGCAGGTGGGGACAGGGACAGGGACTGGGATGGAGATGGGGACAGGGATGGGGACAGGATGGGCATGGGGACAGGGATGACTTACCAAGGGTCACTCCCACACTGGCAAGGAGCTGCTGTGGCAGGACACAGGTGGGGACAGGGACTGGGATGGAGATGGGGACAGGGATGGGGACAGGATGGGCATGGGGACAGGGATGACTTACCAAGGGTCACTCCCACACTGGCAAGGAGCTGCTGTGGCAGGACACAGGTGGGGACAGGGACTGGGATGGAGATGGGGACAGAATGGGGACAGGGATGGCTATCCAAGGCTTGCCAAGGGCCACATCCATGCTGGCAAGGAGCTGCTGTGGCAGCACACAGGTGGGGACAGGGATGGGGGACAGGGATAGGAACTGGGACTGGAATGGGGACCAGATGAGGACAGGGACAGGGACTGGGATGGAAACAGGACAGGAACAGGTACAGGGACTGGGATGGGGACAGGACAAGGTCAGGGACAGGGACTGGGATAGGAACAGGACAGGAACAGGGACAGGGACGGGGACAGAGACTGGGATGGGGACAGGACAAGGTCAGGGACAGGGACTGGGATAGACACAGGACAGGAACAGGTACAGGGACAGGGATGGGGACAGAAACAGGGATAGGGACTGGAACAGTAACAGGAACAGGGACAGGGATGGAGTGAGGGACTGGGATGGGAACAGGACAGGAAAAGGTACAGGGACTGGGATGGGGACAGAAACAGGGATAGGGACTGGAACAGGAACAGGAACAGGGATGGAGTGAGGGACTGGGATGGGAACAGGACAGGAAAAGGTACAGGGACTGGGATGGGGACAGAAACAGGGATAGGGACTGGAACAGTAACAGGAACAGGGACAGGGATGGAGTGAGGGACTGGGATGGGACCAGGACAGGAACAGGTAGAGGGACTGGGATGGGGACAGAAACAGGGATAGGGACTGGAATGAGGACAGGAACAGGAACAGGGACAGGGACAGAGACTGGGATGGGGACAGGACAAGGACAGGACAGGAACTGGGATGGGAACAGGACAGGAACAGGTACAGGGACTGGGATGGGGACAGAAACAGGGATAGGGACTGGAATGAGGACAGGAACAGGAACAGGGACAGGGACAGAGACTGGGATGGGGACAGGATGAGGACAGGGACAGGAACTGGGATGGGAACAGGACAGGAACAGGTACAGGGACCAGGATGGGAACAGGAACAGGACAAGGATGGGGATGGGGATGGCCACCTATGGCTCACATCACCATCTCCCTCCTCCCCGTGGCTGAGCTGCTGGCAGTGACACACCTCTGCCTGTCCCCCAGGTCACATCACGGCAGAGACCTTCATGTCCATCCTGCGGGACAAGGCCAGTGGGATCTGCGTGGACACGGAGGGATTCCGCACAGCAGGCAGCATGGTGTCTGTGCTGCCCAGAGACCCCTCCCTGCCCTGTGTCCACTTCTTCACCGCCACCCCCGACCCCTCCAGGTGAGCCCAGCGGGGTCACATCCCTGCTTTGGACACACATTCCCGGGAATCAGCACCATCCCAGCTGCTGCTCTCCTCCAGGTCTGTCTTCAAGCCCTTTGTGTTCGTGGCTGGTGTCAAGCCTGTGCCACAGGTGAGGTCCCCAACGTTCCTGCAGGATCCAGCCAAGCAGATCCCGAGGTTCCGGAGCTCGGTGGATCGGCGGCACGAGCTGTAACCGCCGGACCCGGCCGCA